ATATATTTACATATGTACATGCCTGTATTTAGACCTCTATAAATGCCCTTTGCCTCCTAGTTCTTTCCTCTATTTCCTTTTCCTTTCCTCTTGTCTCACTATCATGTTCAGCCTTCATTTGGGTTTCAGTAATTCCTATTGGTGACATTGCCTTTTATCAAGCCCTACTTGGCATCCTATGTCCTCCTCGCCATCAAGCTTTATAACTACTTCTTGATGAAAAGTCCTTTCTTACACATATATGCGTGTCACTGGGTTTATTTTTCTAGGCAACCCAACCTAACACATCGTTCTTCTTACAGTCCCTGTTATATTCAATACTCTTCCCAACTACTGTAATTCAGAAGTCTCTATTCTCCGTCAGTCTTTCTTATTTGTGGTCCAGCTCTCAACACGCGTATGAGGAGGTTGAAGATGCCATGCTTCAGGCAGGGACCCCGGAGTCTTTAAAGTGCTAGCTGTTCTTGTAAACATTTTAAGTGCTTCCTCCGTGGGCATTGATCGTGGCTCCACGTGAAACATCTTTTCTCCAGTTACCATGGTGTTGCTTTCTGATCCAGTTGTAAGGATTTCCATCCCGTTCTTTCTGAGGTGTAATCCAAGCTCTGTCTTTACTCTCCATCAGTAAGTGCTCCAAGCCCTCTTTGTTTACAGCAAACAGGATGATGTCATCTGCACATCACAGATTGTTAATGAGTCTTCGTCTAATCCTTACGCTATGTTCTTCTTAGTATGCTTTATTATGATGGATGTTAATAGGTTAATTATTTGATTATTGCTTAACATACAGATTGCATATATATGATAAAAGGATGCAACCTTGACACATACTTTTCCTGTTCCACTTGAGCGCAATAAAATGTCCCGGCATTCTCATTCTTTGCAGTGTTACCCAAGAAATAGGAAACATTAACAGATAATCCAATGGGGGAAAAGATTAGTCTTCAACAAATGGTACTGGAATAACTCGAAATCCACTTGAAGTTAAATCTCTTATCTCATACTGTGTACAACACTTAACTCAAAATGTATCAGAGACCATATTTAGGCTTTACATATGCAACACTTAGAAAAAAACATCGAAATAAATATTTGTAACCTTGGACTAGGCAATGGTTTCCTAAATATGACACCAGGAGGAGAAGCACCATTATCCCTAGTTGAGAACCAGTGGTACAAACAAATAGCTAAGTGCTTCCAAAAGGTTACAGCCTTGAAAAACCCTATAGAGAAGTTTTCCTCTGCACAGACGGGGTCACCATGAGCCAGACTGGGACATAGGCCAAGGGGACAGGCTGCTGGGAAAGCACTGCAAAGACTTCAAAACTAAATGGTCGTTTGAACTACAGTTCACAAAAGTGAGCCAGGATGTACCTTCTGAACTTAATAAGTTGACTCCTGCTAAAACAGAAGACTTAACAAGAGCTAGAGTCCCATAAAGTAACACTCAAAGTGTTCGTTATACTAACAACTCAGAAAACTCGATTTGAATAAGAAAAGGCAATTAATTTAATCAAGGTTAAAGTGGCACCAGTTCTGGTATTGTTGGTCAAGCATTTAAAAGTAGTCATTCCAAAAATTCCCCACTGAGTAATTAGGAATACCCTTGTAATTAATTAAACAATATTAAAAATGAATTTCCATTGAAAAAGAGGAAGAAAAGAAAAAAAAAGAGGAATCACTGGCAATACACAAAGATTACAGAAGATTATCATTAAGAAATGTGAAGGATATCTAGAGCAGTGGTTGGCAAACTGTAGCCTTGTGGGGCAAATCTGGACTACTGCAAATGAAGAATTTTCTAGGAGATGTGAAAATGATAAGAAGTTCACATTTCAGAGACCGTAATTAAAGTTACCTTCTTGATGTGCTGTATGTGCACATTGTCTATGGCTGCTTTCACCGCGACAACAGCAGAGGTGAGCAGCTGACTGAACTGCCATAGTGCGCTGTTCCACTCTCTTATCTCTGTTGGCTGGTAAATTGCCATCATAGGGGATAGTCTAGTTTTGTGCCAACTTAATTGGGCCAGGATTCTCAGTGGTTTGCCCGTTAACACCTAATAATTCTTCATGATGGGCCCTAATACAATGTGACCACAGTCAGTCAGTTTATGATTAAGATAGGATGAAGCCTCCTTACTCAGTTCACAGCCTTATCCAGTTAATTCAAAGGAAATTGCCTCCAGGGTGTGGACTGCTTCTTATATAATTAGACAGTGTGGAAAAACTTGTTGGCTTTTTGACAAGTCTGGATCCTGCATCTGGCTCATCAACGGCTGGTTCTTTGCACTTGAGCCAATGGTCTACCATATTGCTTGGAGACCCTGGGAGTTGTCAGCAATTTGACATCTGACCTTACAACCTTGGATTCATCACCAGTGCAGCCATAGCCTGACCTTCTGACCTTGGGTTCATCTTCCTCTGCAGTCATCATTCTGTGGTCTTCCTGCCTATCAACACCCCCCACAACCATAGAAGTCAAGAGAAGGTTCCAGTCTACTAACATCTGACCTATAGACTTGGAATCTATCTGGACTTGAACTTGCCCAATTTTACAACCATGTGAGCCATTTTCATGATAAGTATATTTATATAGGTAGCCAGCGAGTGTGCCCTGGTAGTGTTGCAGTTATTCATTGAGCTGCTAACTGCAAGAGCAGCTGCTCAGTGGGAGAAAGACAAGGCTTATATGTCTGTAAAGAGATACAGTTTCTGAAACCCACCCACAGGGGAAGAGTTGGAATCAATTTGATGGCAGTGAGTTATAGGGGTTTTTTTTGGTGTGTATTTATTTATTTATCACTGTTTTTGCTTATCTAGAAAACCCAGCCTAAGACAGGTCATTAGCAAATATGACCAAGAGCAGCTTGCAAAGTACTTGTGAGTCATGGCTGTACTGAAACTGCTGGAGCTGCTACATTTAATCCGTTAACACAGAGAAACTGAAGAACAGGAATTGACAGGTTTCTCGGAGAGTGTAGGAACATTCACAAAGGTCGTTGATCAATGTGAAATACATCCAAAAACAGATTTTTAAAAATAATATGGACACAAATATAAAATCTGAGATAACACGTCTGTGATATTTATGAAACGATTTAAAATTTTTCTTTGCAAACAATTTAACTTCAGGCAATTTCAAATGAATGAAGCCCACAGCAACCCTCTAGCAACCTTGTGTGTGTGTGTGTGTGTGTGTGTGTGTTAGGGGCATGTTGACTGAGAGGGTGTTGTAATGTTGAAGGCAGTGTCACGTGGGGCGGGGGGTGGTCACGTGACAGAGATTCCTTGCCCTCACGTGACTGGGTCAGCCTCATGGCTGCCAAGTCTTTACGTATCGTTGCTGGGCCCGGAGTCTTGCGGCGCTGGGTCTTACTCCTCCTGCTCCTGCTGCTGCTGCCACTTCGAGGCCGGCCGCGGCCTATCTCCAGGCCCCGGGGACTCCGTTTCATTAACAGCAGCGCAGTTCTGAACAGTCACGAGGGTGCGCTGCCCCTTAAGGCCTGGGCCTTGTTTCCCAACTGCTAGGGTTGGGGCCGTTTCCTCCGCCTTAGTTCTCCTGCTAAAGGCCTCCTTGGGCTCCTGGTCGTTCATCTTCCCCTCCAGGCCCTTCCGTTTCCCTCTCTCTCAGTCTGCTTCAACCTCTGCCTCTACCGCACATCCCTCCCTCTCTGCTCTTCTTGTATCTACCAGGACCTCACCTGCGCCTTGTCCCTGTCTCTCCTGCCTCAGCCTGCAGCCGCAGTTCCATACAAGGAAGAGTCAGGGGGGGGCAGGATGCCCCTGAGCATAGGTGGCCGTGGCAGGTCAGCGTGCACTATGGCGGATTACATGTCTGTGGCGGGTCCATCCTTAATGAGTACTGGATCCTGTCGGCAGCCCACTGCTTCCAGTGAGTTTGGGGGAACAAGACACGGGGTGGGCAATGTAGGGGTAACTTAGAATTGATGACCAGTCCGGATCCCTCTGCGATGGATGAAATGTGAAAGAGCAAGGCTCCAGCCATAGCTCTATCCACTAGCGCTCCATCGCCAACAGGGTGGATTACTCTCTTTGAGGTTGTGGGAAGAGTCAGTTAATTTGAACTCGTGACCACTGCATGAGTGTAGAATAGAACTCCATAGGGTTCTCAAGGGGGTGACCTTTCAGAAACCGACAAGCCTCTCTTCGGAGGCACCACTTGGTGAGTTCAAACTGCCAGCCTTTTGGATGGTAGTTGAATGCTCAACCAGAGAATGTGCACCACCCAGAGAATCTTATTAAATAGGGATGAGTGAAGCTAGTTGCCCTGAGCTAACTTCAGGTCTTACTGGGAGCTGAACTGGAAACAGGCTCCCCAGTGCCTAGAACTACTGTCCCTTTGTTCTCTGCCCCACAGGAGAACGAATCTCAATGGATACGATGTGTTTGCAGGTCTCATTAAGCTCAATGCTGCAGGCCAACACACGCAGTGGTTCGAGTTGAATAAGGTGATCATTCACCCTATGTACAAATTGCGTCATCCTGTTGGCAGTGATGTGGCTCTGGTGCAGTTGAAAAGTCCACTAGAGTTTTCTGACTCGGTGTTCCCAGTCTGCCTGGCAACTACACAGGTGACGGATTGGAGGTTGAATTGCTGGGCTATCGGATGGGGACTAATCCAACCAAAAGGTGAGCAGACAATCCATTCCCTTATTGGAATTTGTGGAAGGGATGGAAACTTCTTTGCCATCGGAGTAAGAAGTGTCCTGTCAGTCAAGGATGAGAAGTAGAGTTCCCATTCATCAGTCAGTCGGCATGCATTAACTGTCAAGGTGTTTTGGGGTGTATTTTTTGTTTGTTTACCCTGAACTGACTTTGGTGTGTGCAGAAAGTAATTATAGCTACTTTGAGTATGAAGTTAATATCTAGGCAGATGAAAAATGCAAATTTAAGAGCATGGTTTTCCATAGGATTTTAAATTCAACTTAGAAAATATCTATTAAAAATCCTATTAATTATTGTGGTTTTCCTTGTAAAGGCATAGTGCCTTCAATGAAGACTATTTCATCACTTCCCGTATTAGAGTTTTTATTTCTTTTTCCTATTGCATGGATTGGGACCTCCAGTAGAAATGGTCCTCAGTTTCTTTTCTAGTATTTTCTTTTAATGGAAGTGATTCTAATGTGTAGCCTGGTGTGGAAGTTTCTGATTGATATCTCATATCAGCTTAAGAAAGTTAACTTTTATATTGAATTTAAATAATGCTTTTAAAAAGTCTTGTCAGCATTATTATTTCGAAATATAGCAACTCTTGAAAGGAACATATAGTTTTTCTCTTAGTCTATTGATACCAAGAATAAGGATTTAATGTTAAATATTTGGAGAGGTTGCAGGGGACAGCCCCAATCTCAACTACGTGGACAGTCCTTCCTTCCTCCAAAAGAATTTACCTCAGAGGACAGCACTGAAGCTACAGCTCAGGGAGAGGGATATGTCTGATCAGAGCATGCAGGAGCAAATGAAGGGGGAGGAAGAGAGAGTGGAGCACATCCTGGCCCACCAAGCCTTGAGTATGATATCCCTGCTCAGAGCAGCCAATGCACAGAGAGGACCATATGGTCGGCCCCACTATGAGACACAACATCCCTCACTGACCCATAGCCCTACGGGGGACAACACAGGAGACACAGTGTGGGAATTGTGCCAGATCTGACCCCACCACATCAAGGCAAAGCACTAAGGGCATGCAACGAAACAGCAAGGGGAGCTTAGCAAGGAAGTCCCTAGGGAATACCAAAAATAGACTTTGGGGCCAGGGCACAGCACCCCATCAAACTTGACCAGAAAACACTCCTAAAGGTCAGCAAACAAATCTTGAACTATTTACAGGCTTTTCTTTGTTTGTAATTCGTTGGTTGTTGTTGTTGTTTTGTTTTCTTTTGTTGCTTTGTTTTGCTCTGTCTTGTTTTTGTGCATATTATCATCTCTGCAGGACTATCTAGATATGATAGGCGGGAGAAACAATATGGAGGAGAAAAAAATGAACCTTTGGTTCCGGGGGGAACATGGGAGAAGAGGAGGTGGGGAAGGAAGTGGAAAAAGGGAACAAGTGTTGGTGTTGAGTAACTTCCCATTTATTTGTCTTTTTGTAATACCTTATATAAAATGGAAATTCGTTACTCCTTAAATATTTAATCTGATTTTCCCATAAAGCAATTTCTTCCTGGTTATAAATGATTCCTACTATAGTATGCCAGAAAATGTATTGCTATTGTGTCTATTCCAATTAATACACAATCTATAGGACAGACATAGCCCTACAGACATGCCCCATTGGGTTTCCAAAACTGTAAATGTTTATAGAAGCAGACTGCCACTTCTTTCTCCCAATTGCAATAATAAAAATGATTAATTCTATTATAACTATTGATTCCACTTTTCTTATGTCAATTTTTATGAATTATTAGTCTAGAAAGTTGTCCATTGCAATCCAGCTTTTGAACATATGTAATATTGTGATTAAGGTTTAGCTTTCAAGTTTCAACTCAAAACTACCATACAAAACACTGCCTAGTCTGCTCCCATCCTCACACTCTTCCCTATGTTTAAACCTGGGTTGCAGCAACTGTCTCATCCCTTCTCATGGAAGGCCTTCCTCTTTTTGCTAATCAATACTTTACTGGTAACATGCTGAAAGTACAACATCTCACTGTCCTTTTCTAAGGAGCATTCTGGTTATAGTTCTTCTATGTCAGATTTGTTTGTTCTTTCGATAGCCCATACTATATTCCAGAGTCTTCGCCAACACCACAGTTCAAATGTACAGTTCTTCTCTGGTCTTCCTTAATCATTGTCCAGCTTTTCAATGCACATGAGATGAATGAAATCATGATGTCTTGGCTCAAGTGCAGTTCAGCCCTCAAAGTGGCACTGGCACCTTGAAGAGGTCTTTGGCAGTAGACTTATGTTACAGCGGTATTTTTTTGGATTTTATAGACGCTTAAAGATCATATTTTTTTTTGTCGCAACATTAATTTTGCTGTGTTAAAATATATGTACCACATTTTAACCATTTTAAGCGTAAAATTTCACGGCATTAGGTACATTCACATTCACCACTATTTCCAGAACATTTTCATCATCCTAAACAAAAACTTCCCTACTAAACAATAGCTCCCCATTCCCTCACTGTCCCAGTTCCTGCTAACCACTGTTATACCCTCTGACTCTATGAATTGTGTCAATTTTATTTGATTATCATAGTGGGATCACATAATATTTGTCTTTTTGTGTAGCTTCTTCTAATTAGCATGTTTAAAGGTTCATTTATGTTGTAGCATGCATGACAATATTATTCATGACTGAATAATATCCCATTGTATATTTTACCACCTTTTTGTATGTCATTCATGAATCTACTTTTTTATTGTTGTATATAATGCTTCCATGACCATTGATTTACAAAGATTCTGCTTTAGCTCTTGTTTTAATTTTTTAGCATATATTTAGGAATGGAATTGCTGGATCAAATGGTAATTCTCTGCTTAACTTTCTGAAGAACTGCCAAATTGTATTTTCAAATAACATCATTTTACATTCCTTTCAACAATGACTATGATTCCACTTCTCTATATCATCTCCAATATTTGGTATTTTCTGTTTTTTAAAAATAGCCATCCTAGTAGATGCAAAGTAGCATCTCATAGTGCTTTTTATTTTCATTTCCCTAATGACTAACGATATTGAGCATTTTTTCCATGTGTTTAATGGCCACTTGTATATCTTCTTTAGATAAATATTTAAAATATATTCTAATTTTGTAATTGGGTTGTTTTGGTTTAAATGCACTTAAATATATATATACACTTTTATTATGAATTATTTTTGCATTAAACAACGAAGATCACTTCCCAAACTTCCCAATGTCTTACACAATTCCCCCTTGCCCGCATTGCTCCTTTGTAGTACATTATCTTCCCCTTCACATAAGTTAAAACTTGTCTTCTCTGTAGCCCCACCACTTATCTGTTAGTTTGTCAGACTGTGGTGGCTTGTGTCTGGCTGTGATGCTGGAAGGTATGTTACTGGTATTTTCAAATACCAGCAAGGTCATCCAAAGCGACCAGGTTTTAGTAAAACTTCCAGACTAATAAAAGTTTACAAAGAAGGAATACATTGCCTACTTAAGAGGAATGAGCCACTGAAAGCTTTATGAATAGTATCAAAACATGTCAGGTATTAAAAACTTCTTGAATAACAGTAGAATATTGTCAGATATAGTGACAGAAGGCATTCAAAATATGATTGAGGAAGAGCTGAATTCTCAAGGTAGAGTCCACCATAATGACATGCATAGAGTAAGCCTTTGGGAGTAAACCCTACAGGACTTTCATTTGATAAGGCAGCATGACTCAAATTTAGAAGAAACAGCTGCAAATGTCTAACAATTGGGCTGTTAAAAGTTCCAAGTAACAATTGGAATGTTGAAGGTATAATATTAATCTAGGAAAATTGGAAGCTATTAAAAAATGAAATGGAACACAAAGATTAGTCCCATGATAGTAAGCGGAAATGAACTGATATTGGCTATTTGGCATCAGAAATCATATGGTTTACTATGCCAGGAATGATAAGTTCAAGAAAAATGGCATTGCAGTCATTATTTTTAAAATGACATTTCTAAATCTCTCTTGAAGTACAATGCTATCTGTGATAAGATCATATCTATCTGCACACAAGAAAATCCAGTAAATACAACTATTTTTCAAATTTATGCATCAACCACTCATGCGAGTGATGCAGCAATTGAAGAATTTTATTAACATCTTCAGTCTGAAATTGATCAAATATGCAATAAGGATGTTCTGATAATAATTGGTGATTGCAATGCAAAAATTGGAAACAAAGAGGAAGGAACAGTAGTTTTAAAATAAGGCCTTGATGATAAAAAACAAAACGAGTCTGTATGAGAGACTTTTGCAAGATCAGTGGTGTCTTCACAAATACTTGTTTCAACAACACAACAGGCAACCGCACACATGGATTTCTCCAGATGGAATACACAGAAATCAAATTGACTATATTTATGGGAAGAGATGATGGAGACACTCAATATTAGCGAAAATTAGAATTACAATATTGAAAGAGTCACTGACAAAATATTAAATAATGTAGGAAGCATCAAAAGAAGACGGAAAGAATACACAGAGTCGGGGAGGGAGCACTAGAACTGATTGCCAAAAGTCAATGGTGCTGAAGGGAAAACTCAAGCTACGCTGAAAGCATTAGCCAAAAAACCAGGCTCCAAGAATTTATGGGATACCAATGAAATGTTTCAATAAGCTGAGGAAGCACTGGAAGCACTTACTTGTCTATCACAGGATGTTTGGAGACAGCTACTTGGCCAACTGACTGGAAGAGAATCATATTTGTACCCTTTCCAAAGAAATGCTCATGGAAGCATCAGTTGAGAGACAAAAAGATGTGATGCGTTGGGTAAATCTGCTGCAAAAGACCTATTTAGAGTATTGAAAATCAAGGTTTTACTTTAAGAATTAAAAGGTGCATCTGACCCAAGCCATAGTATTTTCCATTGCCACATACACAGGTGAAAGTTGAGTGTTGAATAAAGAAAACTGAAAAGGAATCGAAGATTTGAAATGTGGTGCTGGAGAAGAATACTGAAAACA